CGGTGCTGGGTTGAAGTGGCGCTCCTATATCCCACCGGCCAGAAGGCTCGACTCGCGGCCTGGCGCCCTGATTGAGCAAGTGCTCTTTGGCAAGTACTTGTACAAGTGGAAAGACCAAGAGGCCATAGTATATATTGCAGATGGGAGGGATGGCATGTCATCGTGGCCCATTGTGACAAACCATTACATCCTCACCAATGCGCCGCACAAGGTGGATGAGCTCATCAAGGATGCTACAACGTGGGGCGTGGAGCTGCACAATGAGGTGTGGGTCTTCGACGGCGGCTACTGGCAGAAGAGCGCTCAACTGTTTGACTCGGTAAAGGACAGCAGCTGGGACGATGTAATCTTGGACGAGGGAATGAAGAAGTCGCTTATTGCCGACGTAGAGAACTTCTTCGATGGGCAGGACACGTACCAGAAGTTGAAGGTGCCTTGGAAGAGAGGCATCATCTACTATGGCCCTCCAGGAAACGGCAAGACCATCAGCATCAAGGCCATGATGCACAGTCTTTATCAGCGTGGTGCGGATGAAGACTCGCGTATTTCCGTTCCAACGCTCTACGTGCGCACCCTTTCCTCCTATGCGGGTCCAGAGTACTCGATCCAGCAAATCTTCAGCAAAGCCCGAGAACAAGCTCCCTGCTACCTCGTCTTTGAGGATCTAGACTCGATTGTCAATGACAGCGTGCGCTCATACTTCCTCAATGAAGTCGACGGTCTCAAGTCGAACGATGGCATTCTGATGGTGGGTTCCACCAATCATCTTGACAGACTGGACCCAGGTATTGCGAAGAGGCCCAGCCGCTTCGATAGGAAGTACTACTTCCCAAACCCTAGCTTTGATGAGCGCGTCCTGTACGCCAAGTTCTGGCAGGGAAAGCTTGCGGACAACAAGGATCTTGATTTCCCAGACAGTTTATGCACCAAGATTGCAGAGATCACAGACAAGTTCTCCTTTGCGTACATGCAGGAAGCTTTTGTTGCCTCTCTTCTCGCCATTGCTGCACGAGGCGGCCAGGACATCAACGATGCAGAGCGTGAGTCGGAGCGCTGGGCTGGGCCGCTCGACCCAATGACACAGGTGAACCAAGACGCGTTCGTGACCAGACTCGACAGCGAAGGCACAAACCCAGATGTCGAGAGGCTCGAGCTGTGGGTCGAGATTCAGAAACAAGTCAAGATTCTGAGGGAGGAGATGGAGGGCGAAGCGGAGAAGAGTGCGCCAAAGTTTGCTGATTGGTTTGGCAATGTAGTGGATGATAAGGAGAGAAGCCCGAGCAAATTCAGAGATGAACTTGACGCCGTGTTGCATGGTAGGCGTATGAAGCACCCAGGTCAGTACCCAGGCAGGGGATTCCATCCGGGTAGGTAACTTTGGGAGTTGGGGTTGTGCTTTGATATGATGGCACATGGCGTTTCCTGCGTATATAGCATGTCTACTAAAACTAACATATATCTGGTACCATGCACTTTCGGTTCGCTCACCTGTGATATTAATCGTGAACCTCGTCTGCCTCTACCAGAGCCTACGTCCGGCATGCCTACAGCACGGCAAAAGCACTGCAATAAGATACACTGCTATCCCTCACCTCCTCGACCAAACTACTTCTCTCATACCGAACAAACTTGAACCTCCCTTTCCCTTCCCCCAATGCCTCAGCCTTCTCCACAGCGGCCATAAACACCCCAATCGGATGCCGCCCACACACCGTGTTACCCGTCTCCTTCAGCTGCTCCAAAAACAACCTATGCTCTCCACTCTCCACGGCATCCATGCTCTCCTGATCCACCGCCGCGATGCTCTCATGTATTGGGTAGTTTGACGGCACGCGGGAGCGCGAATTCAGCTGTGTAGCAGCCGAGTTGTTGTCGGCGGGTTGGTAGTATGTATACCGGAAGCGGGAACCCCAGTGGCAGAAGTCGGAGGAGATGACGAAGAGGTTGGCTGGGTCGGAGAGATAGGGAGCGAGGAGGGTGCCGTAGTGGGATTCGGTGGACGGGTCTGTGTTGCCGACCATAATGGGTATGAGTGGGATGGACGAGGGATTGGATTGGAAAGCTGGGTTCTTTCTGTTATGGTATTATCAGCGGGGGGAGAGGAAATATGGGGAGTCCCTGGGGATGAGTACAAAGAGAGCATCTTGTAGATATATGGGAGGTGCATTTCCAAGCTATGCTCGTCCTCGTCTACACTCCTAGACATGGTGTCTAGGCTCCATTCCTGTTTGATCTTGTTTACAAATGCAATGTCTACCGTGAGGTCGCCGAGGGGTGTAGAGTAGTTTGTGCAGCCCGTAGTAGCGGCGCCGGTGAGGTAGTGGTGGTGTGACGGCCCGAGCAGGAAGACGCGTTTTCTATAGTACCATCAACCCTGTATGAGGAGTGCAGTAGAACGAGTGTGATGTACGCATTTGCCCAGTCAGCGCTCTTATAGGCCCATGCAGCAGCAGGCCCGGAATAAGAGTATCCAGCGTGCCTGCTTGTTCATGAGCCTGTACCCTCTCCACAGTTTCCTAGACATGGCCTACGGTGCAATGATAGCTCGAGCATTTGCCGTCGGTATCGAGACTTGGCCTTGCTGAGACGATGCAGAGCCGATAGGTGTGGTTGAGGTGGGTACTGCTGCTAGCCAGCCATCAAGCTGTTGTGAGAGGAGTTGCCCATTATCTGTGTACCAGGAACCTGCATGTGAAGCTTTGCGGGTCACCATCTTGAATTGATAGAAGACAGGCGTATAAGTCCAGTGCTTGCAGAAGATCACTTGATGTTTGTATCGTGAGGATGTGTACGGAAGGTGGAGGGGGAGTGTCTCGCGGGGTAGCTTCAGTGGGGTACGAACGCCTTGCGTGCAACCAACGTAATCCTGCTATACTGAGACATTTGCCCCAAATACTTCAGAATATCAGCATGCAGCATGTTCTCCTGATCATCTTCGAAGTTCTGTCTCGTTGCCGTCATCCGTTGAAGAATAGGTTGATCCACCAACTCTACATAGCTTTGATATCTATTGAAGCAGTATGCAAGGGCATGGGCACCTTGAAGACACAAGGAGAAGGTAAGTATTTGTACTAACTTATAACATTATATCATTGACGATTGAACCTCTGCGAAGACGAACACAGAAGTGGGTTTGGGGTGTTAAGTGCTTTACCCCACAGCACGCGAGCGCGTCTCGACAATGGACGCGTCGGGCCAGCCACCATTCGCATCATCACCTGCAATCCATCCCGTCTCGCCATTCCTCCTCCACAACCATTCACTCCATCCACGAAGTTGATATTGTGCGCTCTATCACTATACCAAACACTCTCCATACCATTATCATTAGCCTACACCATGGGTTTCAAGCGCAAGCGCTCTATGGACGACTCGCCGCTATCGATCTCCAGCTTTGGAGCCGTTTCAACACCAGATGCGCAATCACCAACACCATTCCCTCAGCATTTTGACGGCGCTATGGATATCGACACAGCGTCAAGGTCAAATGCTTGGGACTTTACGAGCGCAAGCCGAGTTAAGAGCAGCGATTGGGGCAACCGGACGCGTAAACGCTTCCGCGATAACCGACCAGATGAGCGCGCCATACACGGTACGTCTATGCTGGATATGATTTGCAAGAGGGATATGATGCTAACAATGCTCAGAAAATACCTTGAACAAGCTATTCGCTGCACAACGCAATCAACCACAAGCCTCGCCAATTCCTTCCGATCCAGTTCCTTTCCAAGAACCCGCTCTAGTCACATCCAAGCCACAAAAGTCAACGCTGCATTCTTTCTGGAAGCAGCTACCCGCGCCTCCTGTGCAGCCCATCTTCGTCTCCACTCCAGTACATCATCAGGAAGCATCAAATGCGCCACGCTGTGAGGATTGCGACACACCACTGCAGAGCGGGACGGACAGCATGGACGTGGACATTGATATGGATATGGGCGGAGCGGTGGTAGGCGATTCGTTTGCGTGCAACGACTGCGGGAAGAATGTTTGCGGGACTTGTGCGGTAGTCTCAACGAGGAGGCATTGTTTGCAGTGTGCTACCAGTGGACGGAACTCAAGGCGTTGGTGGTAAGACTACACATTGGCATTCTGCATTGCTCTTCGCAAGCATTGATTCAGTTTAATGGTGTTTGGCGTTGTGAGTTACTTGCAGCTATGATATCCCCTTATTGTTTTGGGTAGCGAGGCGCACGGCGTTGCAAGTATGGGGAATCTGTACATGATCAGATACTTGCTCTTGGAGCATTATTTTGCAATCAATCCACATTAATGTCGAAAACAAAAAATCTCAATTCTATGAACACATGTCTATGATGAGAAGACTAAACTGAAGCCCAGTCTCAATAGAGGCGCACGAGCAAAAAGATGATTTGAGGTCGTGCCCGGGTTCTAATTGATCATGAGTACAAGTTCACAGCACGTACACATTTTAATGTGCTTACCGAACCGGGGTTATCAGAATATTGAGAAGTCAAAATCTGAAGTGATAACCACTACCTGGATTCGAATCAGCGCCCGTTCCCGTCATCGTACACAAGACGACTTAGACGTACACTACACAACCCATGACTGCACGAATGGTGCAATATGTTGAAATGTAAAATTAGAGCATATATATCTCCATTACAAGCTCTATCCTTCTCAACCCCCCAGGAATGAAAAAGCCCAAAATCCGTCGCCTTGCATGGTGGACACTTTGAAACGCGTTCTAATGCAGCCGTCATGCATGTCCTAGTGACCCACCATGCCCGCACAGTAGTGGGAACTCTAGCGAGAACAGCCCAGGGCGGTGTGGTTGGCTTAGCTTGGGGCTGCAAAGAGACGAATAGACCACAAGTCCGACGACGGCCTCGCAGAACAATGGGGTGGTGCTATCTAGCTGGATTGCATTGATAAAACGAAGAACACCGTCATGGCCGGGGTGGGGACACGAGAGGAGGGTATGTGGCTTGCTCGCAGAAAAAGACAAAAAAGAACAAGAAGATGCAAAAAATGATGCTTACGAGCGGGGAGGATCGAACTCCCGACCTTCTGCGCTTCACATTACTCATGTAAAGCAGACATCATAACCGCTAGACTACGCTCGCTTTGGCAAGTTTCAAAATTAATAACAATATATAGAAAAATTAATCAGAATGAGAAAGTGCTCTTCATTCGTGTAGGGCTTAAAAAACACTACAGGTGGGGTCAAAGTAAAGAAATGTAGAAGGAGCTCCTTACCTTCGAAATTTATGGCTCTTGGTGGGGTCCCCTGAACAGTCATTGTAGTCCTCCGCGGACATTTTCTGGTAATCATAGATTGCCAAAAATAACGCAAGTAGATATACAGTTACCACTAATACCTTGCCCTTGTGTCATCCGACTGTGGCCGTGAAGGACTACAGTGTTGAAAAGCGTTGACTGATTCTCGTACTCTGTGATTCGAAGTCCTCAAGAGTGACTATCATTTTGTGATATGGGCGATTACGAGAGCACTGAAAATACAGGAAACCCGTTCAATACCAGTGGAGAAATTGTTGGTTCATATTTTGAACACTCCTACCCCAGAGAGTTCTGTCTCTGGTTGAGCTCCAGTTCCCCGAGCACCGCACGCCCAAAGTCTGTACAAGTACGAAATCTGCAAATCTCATACTGCAACAAGTATCAACCGTGCGAAAACAAAAATGCGAACATATGGTGTACTAGCAATCAGCAACCGATTTCTGATACATCCGTTGATGTTGGTGCATGGCTATGCAGATGCATTTCAACCTAGGCAGTAGTTTGCCTACTCTGCACAACAGCAGACTTTCTTGAACAAAGGGGTATTCACTATAAGATAGCATGCTCTTGTTTGTTTGAAATTTGGGTATTGGACACGAAACGCGCTTCATCGTCGAAAGGCAGCAAGTGGTTGATAAAAAGCAGAAAACCCACCGAAGAGAAATCCACAGCGAAAGATCTTTGCCAATTGAAAATATCTGATGAGTATGCGAGTGTACTTCATTTATGCATTGCTCGTGGTATCCTTAAATTCACCAACGACCTCACAAAAAAAATTGGGGATAACACGCCACGTAGGTAACAAAGCTGGCGACCGGGATTTGATTTGATAGAGGTATTGCTTCTTCTCAACCAAGAATCTCTTACCCAGACTCGGATTGTTCAAGGCATTTTGTCAGTCCTACGTTTTCCACTCACTATTGTGCTAACAACCCTGCACGCAGTCACACTGCAAGTGTACTCCCGTAAAGACACGCCCCCACAACGTAAACTCCAGTTATATGATAGAAAATTTCTTCCGTTTCGCAGGCTGGCCAAACCATATTTCTATTCACAGTCCCTTCTTCCAGTTTATCCTGCCGCCGCCAGCCTACCACTCCATTCAGTCCTGGAGAGACAACTGCACTAGGAGGGCGGGGTGAGTGAGCCGATGACGATGTCAGATGTGTCGTCTGAGACGGCGGATGCTGCTTCTACGGGGAGAGCGGAAGCAGTTGCCAAGAGGATTGTGGTGAGGAGGAGGGTAAGCGTTGGAACATGCATTGTGAGAGATGTTGCTGGCAGGAATCGATGTCGTGGATGGATATTTGACAGGCACGACAAGGATGAAGGAAAGAAGTAAGATAGATAGTAGGCTATGCGACTTGGAAGCGGGGTCTTGATGTGTTAGAAGTGGTAGGGTGTGTGCTAGTTCTAACTTGACAAACCTAATTCGTCCTACCTACATTGTAGCACATGCTATATATCTTATATTCTCACGTAGCGTAAACGAACTAGCATTAGCCTTCTCCCGCTCCCCGCTAACTTCGCCCATAGGATACAGACACAGACTATACCATACACCCCTCATCCCAGTCCCAGGGCAGTCTACACAACGCCATATCCGCTAGCTCCGTCTTCGTCTTCCTATCCAACTACAAAGACGCATTTCCATCACCCTGCTAGCTTGCACATCTCGTTTCAACAACCGATATAGTGTTCTTCACAGCCTCCACTCGCGCTGAGACTTTGATATTACACGCAAGACGGGCACCCGAGACATGACCAAATACATGTTGAACATGAGGTCCTCCAAGACACTCTAATTATAGCTTCCCCTCGACACGATGATTTGGCGCCGGTGATTGCTCTGTGATGTTGCATGTGGCGGATTTGGCCCCCACGTAAGACAGTTCGTCGTTGGCGAACAGGAGCAAAGCTTGTAGCGAGCTGAAAACGTTAGTCTAGTAATACTTTTGTCGAGTTAAGCCGACTTGAATTTGGAGATTATGAGTGTTGGAATTACGGCGGTTCGCGGTATTGGATGTAATGTTGTAGTCTCCTTTGGGCACAAGAGAGAAGGGAGACTAGAATGGGGGACAAAATTGGAGAGTGAGGAGTAACGCTAATTCTTCAAGACATGCTTTCTACCCTGTCCCTATCGATCTGGGCCTGATGCGCCTTCCTCATAAAAAGAAGGGAATGAATTCGTTTCATTATTTGCAAAAGGGGCATCTTTTCACTCGCTGGCAACTTGCCCATTGGCCTTGCCGGCTTCCAAACGTTCACCACCCTTGAACTTGAACCTCTTCAATCCTCGCACGCCAACGTTGATCTTGAAACAGCTTCCGGCGTATTCGTCAGCGGGTGTTCCGTCAGGTCCGCTTGTACCTCCTGCGCTCGTGATGAACAGTTCCTCGCCAACAAAGCATGGGCATGTGGGTGACGATGTTGGGACCTTGATCTCGGCGACAATTTCACCCTGTGGAGAGATCTTAAGAACGTGGCTACCACCGTGGAGTGCGGTCCACATGAACCCTTCCTCGTCGATGCAGTGACCATCTGGCACGGCATCCTTTCCGTAGCGGTTGTCCTCTGGCATCGTAAAGAAGGGGCGCTTGTTAGTGATTGCGCCGGTGGCTTGGTCGTAGTCAAACTGGTATATCGTCTTGAATGGGCTGTCAGCCCAGAACATGATGGTGTCATCCTTGTTCCAGGTGGTGCCGTTGGGAATGGTGATGTTGCTCATGGGGCGATCGAGGCTCAAATCGGGATTGAGACGGAAGACTGCGCCTTCTGAGCTCCAGTCTGAGACCAGAGGGTCGAACATGTAGCCGGCCCAGAAGCGTCCTTGACTATCTACCGCGCCGTCGTTGCCACGGAACTTCTCGTTCTTCTTTGCCGCGATCTCATCTTCTGACCATACTTTTTGGATCCATCGATACTCGCCGGTCTGCTTGTTTGCGACACCATAGCCGAATTTACCACCGAAGATGAATTCCTTGTCGTTTCCCTCAATGTCTGCTGTGCAGCTAGTTGTTGTCAGATGCTGATGGTATTTCTTGGGACTTTGTGGATTTACCCTATTGAGATGTCATACTCCTTGACGACTTTGTGGCTGGAAGGACCCTCGGTCAGGTTGACACGGTGCACCTTTTGCTTCTCGACGTCGAGGAAGCGAACGGTATTGGTTTCCTCCTCCCAGAACGGTCCTTCGCCAAGGGAGCAGTTTAGCTTGAGCCATGGCTGCGATATTGTTAGCGGCTAAATCACGTCGTAAAACTTGCGCAAGGTGGAGACAAGGGCAATCTTGGGCGCGAGTGGCGGAACAGAGGCTGGAATGGCTTCAAAATATCTATGCGACTCTGGTATGAAGGCTTCGAGAACTGTAGTCGGCCAAGTGAGGCTCAATGGCAGCCCATTCGCGGGGGGACATTCACCCATCCTGCGTCGCAATGCTCTCAAAGCGGATGCATGACCTCAGCGGGGCTGCGAAAACTACCCCTCGTCGAGCACTTGACAAAATCAAAAACCGACATACCTCAGTAATTTCGTACTTTTTGACCTCGGACATGTTGGACAACGACTCAGTGGTTGGGGCTGGTGTTTGTGTGCCGCTCTCAATGTCCTTTGGCTGGCCGTTGGCTTGTTGATGTTGCTGTGTCGCCTTGCCCGTGGCAGCGCCGCCCGTCCAGGCGTGCCTGAGGGAGGCCCACAATTTGGATAGCGTCGCTCCCATTGTCCCAATGACGTCCCGAGGAGCCGCCCGACGAGGCTATGGAATCTTGCCTGGAATCTTGCCCGGAGTCGATAGTCGCGACGACGCTATTCCAACATGCACCCTTCTTTACGCGGTATTACGGACGTTGGCAAAGACGCCAATCAGACACGTTCTCGGGGCAGGCGACAGACGGAACAAGTGATTGGGAAAGCGTGGAACCAAGGAACTCCAACAAACGCGGCGGCTTCAGGTATACATATGGTCTTCGTTGCAATAATCCTTTGTGCGCGCTGCGAAGAGGCGCCGCCGGCCATGCGGATCGTTGGGCCAACAGGCCATTGTCGCAGCATCAATCAAAGGCTTCTACGGGCGCGTGCTGTCCATGGCTGCTCGTTTCAGTGAGAGCGGCTATGGGTGTTGGTACGTATACAGTATAGTGGGTTTGTATTGCTGATAGAATATGCGGTTGATGAGGCGGTGATAACAACTCATTGTCGGCTGAACGGTCCGGCACGGCCTGTGCATCGAGCACGTTGCCTGACCACGGGGAGCAACGAATCTCCGTTCCGGAAGAATAAGAGCTAGGCTCGAGTTACAGAGGGACATTCGCCCGCTGGCTCTCTGGATTGCTTATAGGCCACATGTTTCATCCCGAATGTTCCGGCTTGACGACGACCAAGCCATGCCTTGACAATGGACAATCTGGCTTGTTCCGCCTATACCAATACTCTCTATGTCTTGCAGACCTGAGCACGTCTCGGTAACGCCACACGGGAGGACCTGCAGGCCGTTTTTGATATAAACTTGATTGAGACAATAGGGAAAGGACCGCGCTCAAGATTGTCGACCTGTAAGGATGCGACCAATCAGCATGACAAGTCCAAAGTATAGAGCCATTGCCTTCGAGTTTGATCCTTGCCACATATTGCAATGGCACGTATAGTACTCTGGAAACTTGTTGAGCAACTACTATGGAAACGTTCAACTAGTTTTGCTTCGGACATTTACATGCAGTCCCTGCGATCAAGCGAGATAGACATTCATTTACAAGACGTGGATCACAGGTCGATCAATTAATCACCACATGCATGACGGGAGAATTTCATGTTGTTGCATTGTCGTAGT